GCAGTATTAGAGATACAGGAAAAGGAATCCACAAAAATGTGATATTCATGTTTTAGAGTCACAGGGGCTGAAGGGGACTGAGATCCAAGTGCTGCACAGTTTGGTCACAGCCAGCCTGTGCCACTGCCCCTCTGTTACCTAGCCTGCAGCCATGGGCAGGGAGGCTACCTCCAGCTGTGAGAGCTGCCAAAAAGCCTTTAGCACTGCTAACAGTGCTTCTTTCCACCTGGAGCTGGGCAGGAGGGTGTGAGTGAAGCAGTCCTCACTGCCAGTTCTCCACTCCCCATCTGCATCGTGCAGGGATGGGAGCTAGGACCCGGTTCAACCCATGGGCAAAGAAAATGCTCTAAGCCCGGAGTTGCAACAGGGCTCCTTGTTAGACCCAGCGTCTGGGGGCTGCTGCAGGACGGAGCCCCTTTGTGGGGCTCTGCACTATGTGTCCTCCCCACTGGGTCCTGGCCAGACAGGTGCTGACACTGAGGTCATCTGCTCAGCGAGGCCATACCCTGCAGAGGGGTTTGCTGCCATGCCAGCACATGGAGTTTGGTCTGAGATGCCATCATAGGGTCAACTGGCTGGTTTTTCTTTTAATAAAGCTCCACAAAAATTATTCACTTCACTGGACTTCTTTGAAGGCAATCCTCTACGGTGGTCATCCTTTGAAGAGCCAGATTTTGTCCTCACGCCCCAGCAGGAGGCAGAGGTAGTGGTGGTTTTTACATGGTGTGTGGATAGCAGTAAGTAAATTCACTTGAACTTGCTCAGCTGGGTGTTTCATGTCTCCGCAGCCAACCACCTCCCCGCAGAATAAGCTCTGTATGAAGCAATGATGCAAATATTTCTTATCCTGAAATTCAGCAGAACCTTCTTCCTGATTGAGCAAATGTATTGGTATCTTGCAGTGCGGGCTCTCTCCTAGAGAAGAGATGTAAGCAGGAAGGAAGCTGGTTTGGACTCAATTTAATTTCCCCAGGGTTATGTATCTTAAAGAGAGCAAGCACACAAAAAACAGATGCAGATAGAAGGTTAAATTCTCTTCTCATTTATGAAGGGATAAATGTACAATAATCCTGCCAATAACAAGGTTGTGCTAGAGCGAAAGGAAGATTGCTGGAGACCAACCTGACACAGGAAAGTAAATAAGAGGGTTCTGAAGAGGAAAACCTGCTTCTCACCTCCTCCTCTCACCTTTTTGTCTTTCAGCCTTTACCTGGGCTAAATTCTGCTCTGGATTTCTGCGTAAAGTCTGTGCAGCAGGAGCCCAAACTAGCCAGAGCTCAAAAGCAGAACTGCTCCCCCTTTCCTCTCAGCAGCCATGCCAAACCAGGACTTGGTTTTATTAGAACACAGATTAATAAATCAGAGAAAACTCCAGTCTCCTGGGAGAAACATTTGGGGGGAAAAAAGGCTTCCAAAGAAATCTCCCTCTGCCCACAGTGCCCATGCAGGCTGTGCCTTTCCCTCTGGTTTCTCATTTCCGTCCTGTGACTTCTAGCTGCTTCCAGGGCTGAACAAGCTCCTCACCTTCCTCCCCAATGCCACTGCCATGGAGGCTCGACCCTGAGTCTGTTTTCTGCAGTCAGGGAGCACCCTGTCCCCCATTTGCTCCAGGACCCAAGTTGATGTCAATGGTTTGCATTCACACTCCTGTACCTGAGAGCAGACTCTGGCCCGTGAAGACCTTGAAGATGAAGTTCTCCAGAACAGCTGCCTCTGACCATTTCTC